TCTTAACATGTCCAGTAAAAATTGGGATCACCCTTGCAAATTTATCTACAAAGAAGTTTGCAAAATGTAAACTGTTTTACTCTTTTTCAGTATATATGCATTAATTTCTGCTCTAATCAGAGTAGTATCGGTGTATGAGACGTTGGTCAGCATGTCTGTGTTTTGTTTTTTTAACCATGTAATCCAAATAGGTCAATAGAAAGATTATCCTACTTACTGTTGTTCAACTTGATTGCCTCTCTACTTTGATTATGGATAAATGAGTACTTGCTTTCCATTTGAGCAATTGTAATTCTAGTTGATTTTCCTGATAACAAAAAAATAACAAACATAAGTTATGCAAGCTCTTTTATTGCCTAACCAAAAAAACAAAACAACTGGTTAAAAATCCTCCCTTCCTTTTATGTTGTTCATTTAGAAACTACTTTTTTTCCCCTCCAAAGATACTCTTGATTTGTCCCTCTTCAACTTAATGACTGTAGATGTATTTTGGGAGTAATCTAATGTATTTTAATGCTCAGAGCTGACATTACTTCTCTTGAAGGTTCACGGAGGAAGAAACTACTCTCAGGACACTTACAATCACAGTATAGCATACAACTCTATTCCTATGTGTAAAATGCCTAAATCGCAAAGAATGAGTGTTCTGCTGGGTAGGACTTCCCTCCTCAGTTCTCATTGCTTTTAAAACATACTTACTCAAACAGTTTTTCTTGTCTGTAAGAAAAGCTCATTATATTAAAACTATATTTTTCTGATGGCATTATCTTACTAAACGTTTACATTTATAAGTGAGTTTGTTACTATTTTGTCTTGCTGAATCCTTTGAATACAGATGCATTCTGATACAACCCTAACTCTAGAAGACTTTTCAGTAGCCTACAAAGGGATAAAAGAAGAGACACGTAGACACGTTAGCTTATTATTCCGTAGGAAAATGGAGATAAGGAGATTCCTGTTCTGTGAAGTAAGAAACTGAATTCCCACGTGGGGTATGTTTTACTGTTGAGTTCTTTAGATGAGCAGATTGCAAGTGAGTATTTTATAATTCCTGTTAGCTCACAGCTGACTGCTGTCACCCAGCATTAACTGTAAGGGACCTTGTGCAAAGAGGTAACAGAATGAACTCTACAAGATGTGGCGGCTTCACTGATGCAATGGTTTCTGCATACTAAATTGTATGGAACTACTTACGATGCTCTCCAAACTCCCTCATTACTGGTGTACTGCAAAACGGAGTCCTGTGGATTGCTGCACAGAGCAAAGCTTAACAAATTAACGAATGTTACAGGAGCACTCTGATACTTGGTCTTTTGTTCATGCTCAGGGCCGTAGAAAAAAAAAATGGTATAAAAGTCATTCTGGGGACCAAGTAACATAGTGTCACTTCAGTAGGAATGTGGAGTGTCGTCCTTCAGGAAGGTGAATAATTCTTGTATTTGATTAGATAGAAAGCTGTTAATTACATGCTTTAAACACAAACTTCAGGTGTGTATAAAGTGAACACTTCAGTGGTGAGGAATGCTGAGTAGCTCTAGTTTATACTGAAATGTGCCTTAAGCTGTCGTTCTTGTAAAAGACGAGTTAACAGAAGAGGACAAGTTTTTTTCTGAATGTTAATGCTTCCTCACAGCTGAAGCAGGAACATGCCTGTAAAGATGCTGGGTGTAAACAAGTTGTCCACCAGTTTCTTCCTCCTGACTTCAAGTGAAATCTGCTGTGTCCAACTGATCTGTAAAGTACTTTTGGGGAAACTGTTCTAGTTATGAGCTGAGTTGTTTAGAGCAAGCACAGTTTCTACACAGAGGTCCTGCTTTCATTTTTGAAGAAGTCACTTTTTTCCCCTGTATCACGGCATTTTTCATTGAAGTCGGTGAAGTGAAACAACAACAGTAATATACAAATGAAGTGCCTGATTCTACACAAACCTGAAGTCATTGCAATCATTCCATTGACCTCCTGTTAAAATACCTGGGCTTGCAGCAGCTTCTTGAGTATTTTCATTATGGACCGACGGCTGCGATAGAAGTCTAGAGAACTATTCAGTTAGCACTGACATTTTGCTTTTGAGACAGTGGAGTAAAAACAAGCTGACATGAATTTTTCTTTAAATTAGAGAACAGTTACTGGAGGATCTGTTAGTAAATAGCGCGTGTGTGTGGCAGATACAGGCAGTGAGCACGTGACAATCTGAAGTGAAAAGGAGGACTAGGAAGTAGTAGTACAGTCGCTAAGGAGAGGTTGCTTCTTTGACAAATTATGCTATTGTACTGTATTTACTTTGGATATTACTGTGGTTGGTGGGTACCTCATGAAATGGCAGGTAGATATTGAATGAAGAAAGCGAACGCTTCTCTTGTGATGCAGCTACGTGCACTAATACTATGTGAACTTCATGCAGATTTCACCGTGGACTTCTGTTTTAAATTGTCTAACTTTTAAAATTAATTTTAACCATGTTTAAACCATGGAGTTTTTGAACTCTTTAGAAGTAAATTTCCTTGGACAAGTTTTCAATGTTTAAGTGTCAGGGTAGAAAAATTCTCAATGCTAGCTTCACTCATTGACACAAACCTGGTGCTCTGATGGCCAGTACTGGGCACACTGTCACTATCTACCAGTAGCAATTTCCTGTGGTTTCTCTGAAGTTGTTTTCATACGTGGAAGTGAATGTTATGTATCCAAAGTGCCTTAATTACAATACTGTGCTGATTTTGTGAATGCTTATACATGGAAAGATCATTATTTCATAAACAGCTGAAAGTCTGTTATTGCATTTTTATAAAGCTTCCTTGTCAATTAATCACATTTCCTGTAATTCAGATTGCAGTGCAGCTTTTGTAACTTTTGTAAACACTATTCTTATTTTTCTGTGATCGCCAGGTTCTCGAGATGAAGTATTAAGACACATCCTACTTTTCTTTTTGTTTTGTCTAATAAAACTGAGTAAACATGCCTGGTGTTTATGTCTTTATTATATTTCAAGAGCTGACAGAAGACTGCTCTGTAAGAGGAAAGATGAGAGGAACAACATATCCAGTGCTTTCCTAAGGGTACTGTAGCTGTCAGACATGGCCATGGCGGGGAAGTTAATGAGCTGTTCAAATGCCTGTTGTACCGGTGATGATGTTTCTTAATGGGTAAAATAGGGTCTTGAAGGGGGTTTTCAGACACTGTGATCCCTGGGGACTACACATATCTTGCCAGGGGTTCTCCCACATCTTTTTCACACCCTTTCTGGAGCTGCATAGGATGTGTCTCATAGCTACCTGCAGGTGTTTTGGTACCTGTCCCCCTGATCATTAGCAGGGCATCGAAGCTCTCTTCCCTTTCCAAATTTCCTTCCTATTACTCCTGTAGCTCAGTTAGTGGCAGTACCGAGTAGGTGATCTTGATCCCACTGCTGCTTGCGAAAATGAAGGCTGCTCAGTTGGTTTAACCCTGGCTGTGAAACACCCGCCATCAGGAGAAGGTGGCTGCAGTGTCTGGGTTCTAAATTCTGATATTTTCATTGCTTTGATTTGAGCATCTAAGCTTTGGAAGAGGTGAGTATGCTTGAACTTCAAATCAGCCGATTCAAAATCATTGCCCTGTTTTGCAGAACAAATATTTGGGATTGCCATTCTGTGCTGCCTCACCCAACTCATACTCTGCTTACAGAGTGACTTCAGGCTCTAGATTTTGAATGGGAGACTTGGTTCCTGAACTCCTTTATTCCACCTAATTTTGGATTTGGCAGTACTATGATAATGTAGGATATGACTTATTTTTCCTACTCCTCCCACCCTTGTTTTTGTAGCTGCTCAGACAGAGCCGTTTCCTGTCAACTTGTTTAGCTGGGGAGAAAAAAACAAATATGCTTGAGTCTTGAACTGGTTTTACAGTCAATTCAGTCCTTGTCACTTTCCTAATTGGTTATGACCTTGGATAACTTTCTAAAAAATTAAACAGTCATAAAATGAATCTAAGCTCATCAATACCCAGACATTAACCAAACAAACTTGTCCTGGGAAGCTGTGCAGAGGCTGTTACTGTTAAACTGAAAATTATGTAAAGCTCTACAATGATCTCTGTAACTCTGATCTTAATTGTTAACACAGTGTGACTTTTCAGATACTGCATCATTTACTCTGCGGGGATCGTGTCTGAGCTATGATAATGGATGAAAAGACTATTTCATTAAGCTGGATGCACACCAGGTACTAATGACTAATTGATTTGTTTAAGTGGCCTCTGCAAATACATGACCAGTACGTACTGGAGGGCTGCACAGGGAAGTGTCTCTTGATAAAATATGGAGGGGAGCATTGACTGCTGAGTTGGGATTGGATTTTAAAGATCAACTGGACACTCAGAGAGAAACATTTTTCTTCTGTCGCCTGGTGCTGTATTTCTCTCTTTTTTTTTTTCTTTTTTTAATGTTGAGGGTTTTTTTAACCATGCCTCTCTTTTTGAGAATTATATTCACAAATTGCTTACAGCAGTTCATGCCCTGTAGGTAGGACTTTGGCTGGAGGTACTTTGCTTTCAATTCTGGAATTAATGTTCCCTGTACACTAGTTCAAGATTTTAACAAACATTCTGGATACTGCTGCTTTCTGCTGGCTCGTTGTAAATGGACTGTTTGATTGCTCCCTGTCTCCTCTCCCGTGAGGGTGCTCGGTCCTTGTCTGTGTGTGCAGACGGCTTCCTGCTGGCCCGCAGCACCTGGGGGCCTTTTGGCCCTGTCTGAAGCAGGGAGAGAAGATGGGGTTTATAAATACATACCCCCCTCCTTCCTCCACCCCTAAAAAAAAAAGTCTTAGATGATAGGAGGAGGATTATTTTCCCAGTGAGACTAAAGCTACAGCTTTGTTTATTGTAGTAATTTATGTTTAATTAACGTAATTGTACATAATTGTGCATTATACAATCTCACTTACAAGCTCACTTTAGAATCTTTGCATATAGGAAAGACTTCTTCCTATGAAACATGCTTACAGCATTGCTGTCCATTATTAAAATTAGGAATTTAAATGAAATCACAGAATGATGGGCGCAGCTGTCCTGGCAGAGGTCTGAAACCCTGACAGTGTCTTTGTTGGCTGTTGTTACAACAGCTGAACTGGAAGGTGCCTGTGTTACACTGTATTTTTAATTGCATGTTTTCCTGGGTTATAAAATTAATAAATAAGTAAATAAAAAATCATGCTTACAAACTTAACTTCTCACTTCTATGGAGTTCTTAAAAAGCTGGATTCTTAACAAGCTGGATATGGCTGCGGCCATCCACAGCTGTGAATTTTGCTTTTTATCACTTGCTTGGAGCTGCTCTTTCGACTGTACTGGCAAACTTACTTCCTCGGCCAACATGAATAAATGACACCATGCTTGGATGTTTTTGTTTGCTTGAGGATTTGGAAAGAAGTTAAACGGTATTTATCGTGCTCTGCAAAGCATGTGCTTGAAATAAGAGGGTTGGTCGTGACATTTATATGATTTGCTTATTTCTTGTTTTGACTATTAAAGCTGGGCTTGTGATGTTGTTACTCATTTAATTCCTGCCTGAGACTGGTATTTCACCATGTAATAGGCTCTTTGTTACCAGTCTTCCATCAAAAAAAAAAAAAAAAAAAGGCCTTTACACGACATAAAAACAAAAGCCGCAATAACTGTGACTTACTGGCTCCTGATCAAGTTCTCCTTTTTGAAGCTGGTGGGAATTTGGTGCTGGGGTCAGTGGGGCAGGGAAGGAAAGATACAAGCGGCCAAATCCTGTTGGATGCTGCAGCCCCTAAGGGCTGAGGGCAGGCTGTGAGCGTGCTTTGTGCAATGGATTGTCCTTCTCCTTCGGTGTCTGTTCCTTCTGCCACAGGGAATGTGGGTGACGGTGGTCACACAAATCCACGTCCCTGCATTTCACAGAGGACCCTTCACTGCAGGAGAGCACTTCACAGCTTGTCCTTGTTTTAACAGCTTTGCTCTAGTGTCTCCCTGCCTGGCCAGTCTGTCTTTGTGCTGTTTTTTCTAACAGTATAACTGCTGATGGTTGCAACGAGGGGTTAGGATGTTTTCAGGACAAGGACATGATAATAAAACAATCTCCCATGTAATAAATTTTGGAAGAGAACTCTGCTCTTAGTCATTTACAAATACTAAAAATGCATAATACTGCTCATGCATAAAGTGACTTTTACCTTTTGAATCAAATTATACAAAATAACATACCTCAGGCAGGCCAGAGCGTGCTCTCTCTTCTATCCACTCCTTCAAGAAAGCCTGCATTCTTAAAAAAAATATAAAGAAAAAATAAATATTTTGCTGTTTAATTGAAATCTACAGCAGAACACATTAGTTTACAAGGTTCTTTAATAGCTAGACAGATATTCATTAGAAACAATCATTTCAAAATGCGCAGCCTTTCTGGTAGAGTCTTGTAAGTGAACGATGTGTAAAGTTAATTGGGATTCAGCAAATAGCCTCAGCTAGAGGTCAGATAACTCAGCCCCCTCTAGATGCCTGAGCCACGGTGCGGGTGTCTGCTCCTCTCCTTGCTCAGGACAGGGTCGTTGTCTGCTCTCGTGTCTCTTTTCCCACAGGACCCAGCCCTACAAAGAAGGCTCAGAAGGTCCCAGGCTCTGTCTCAGCCCCTGCTTGCAGCAGTCCTGGCTCCAGCCCTCGTCCTGCCTCCTGGGGCTGCTCGGGGGGCTCCCGGACCCCTCCTCTGAGCCTGCTCCACATGTGCCTGTATCTAGGGCTCCCTAACAAACACAAAACCAACCCAAAGCGACTCTGCCTTTAATTGCTGCTGGCATTTCCCGTTTCTCTGCAGTAAGGGAGTGAATGTTCCCCCCAGAGCCAGTGATTGCAGCCAGCCTCTGCTTCTCCGCCCCGATGGGACCGAGCTCTTGTCAGCTCTGGGAATCACGAGAAGGCAGCTGAGCCAAGGGCGAGCCACACATCAAAAACACTTAAACACAGATTTATGGCTTGTATTAACAAGATGGAAAACAAGGCAAACAAGTGGCGATTTAGAAAGAATTACGTTGTAAAGTGCTAATAGGTCCTGGATGTGGATTCCATCTCTGACTTCCACTTACTTAAACGTTATGTTTAACAGGGAAGGGCTAAAAATACCCAGTGCTCTTTCTGTGAGGACTTTCTCAGATGCACGATCTAAGAAACCATTCTGAGATAGCAATTTCTTTAACCAGAAACAGGTTGGGTGATTGATTTCTCTGAGTGCTCTCATTTTGTTGTCCTTGCAGGGGGCCAAGCTTTAGATGCGGTAAGACCGAGCAGGACAAATGTATGGGTAGCCTTGAGAGAGAGCTCTTGTTTCTAGAGAAATTAGCACGTTCTCTTAAACTGTGCTTTTTGACCATCACATATTAACGTGACATAAATCCAGCACTGCTAAACGAGGCCAGTGATCTCCCTCAGAACACATTTCATTAATCCTGTTCCTGCACAGCTGAATCGTATAGATCATATCCTTGACTTCAGCAAGGCTTTTGACACCGTTTCCCACAGCATTCTCCTCAAGAAACTGGCTGCTCTTGGCTTGGGCTGGCGCATGCTTCGTTGGGTTAGAAACTGGCTGGATAGCTGGGCCCAAAGAGTCGTGGTAAATGGAGCCAAGTCCAGTTGGAGGCCAGTCACTAGTGGCGTTCCCCAGGGCTCGGTGCTGGGGCCGGTCCTCTTTAATATCTTCATCAATGATCTGGACGAGGGCATTGAGTGCACCCTCAATAAGTTTGCAGATGACACCAAGCTATGCGCATGTGTCGATCTGCTCGAGGGTAGGAAGGCTCTGCAGGAGGATCTGGATAGGCTGCACCGATGGGCTGAGGTCAACTGCATGAAGTTCAACAAGGCCAAGTGCCGGGTCCTGCACCTGGGGCGCAATAACCCCAAGCAGAGCTACAGGCTGGGAGAGTAGTGGTTGGAGAGCTGCCAGGCAGAGAAGGACCTGGGAGTGATGGTGGACAGTCGGCTGAATATGAGCCAGCAGTGTGCTCAGGTGGCCAAGAAGGCCAACGGCATCCTGGCTTGTATCAGAAACACTGTGACCAGCAGGGCTAGGGAGGTGATCGTCCCCCTGTACTCGGCTCTGGTGAGGCCGCACCTCGAGTACTGTGTTCAGTTTTGGGCCCCTTGCTACAAGAAGGACATCGAGGTGCTTGAGCGGGTCCAGAGAAGGGCGACGAAGCTGGTGAGGGGCCTGGAGAACAAGTCCTACGAGGAGCGGCTGAGGGAGCTGGGCTTGTTCAGCCTGGAGAAAAGGAGGCTCAGGGGCGACCTTATCGCTCTCTACAGATACCTTAAAGGAGGCTGTAGCGAGGTGGGGGTTGGCCTGTTCTCCCACGTGCCTGGTGACAGGACGAGGGGGAATGGGCTTAAGTTACGCCGGGGGAGTTTTAGATTGGATGTTAGGAAGAACTTCTTTACTGAAAGGGTTGTGAGGCACTGGAACGGGCTGCCCAGGGAAGTGGTGGAGTCACCATCCCCGCAGGTCTTTAAAAGACGTTTAGATGTAGAGCTTAGGGATATGGTTTAGTGGGGACTGTTAGTGTTAGGTTAGAGGTTGGACTCGATGATCTTGAGGTCTCTTCCAACCTAGAAATTCTGTGATTCTGTGATTTTACTTTATTTTACTTTATTTTATTTAACCGCTTCTTCTGCTCAGTGGGCACGGGTCCTGGTGATGCCATGGCCATGTAACAGGGGACAGAATGTTGGCGGTGGCCATGTCACAGGGGGAGCTGCTATAAAAGGGCCGCAGCAGGCCAGTCCGGCCAGTCCGGCCGAGGAGCAGCCAGATGAGTGTGGGCTGAGGAGGGAGAGGAGAGGCCCCCCATGGCAATGAAGGGCGGCCGCTCTCCTCCAGCTGTTTTTTTTTTTATTATTTATTATTACAGATAGAATCCTGGAAAAGGACAGAGCAAGACCATGGCTACAGCCTTCTTCCAGCACTCCGCTGGAGACGTGTCAGCTTCTACAGGAGAGATCCCTGGACTCCACGGCCACATGATAAGGAAGGTCAACTCCCAGTCCCTTCCCATATTGTGCCGCTGGCACCAACCCCACTGATGTCTTGTTGCCCGTATTTGCTTCTCTCCTAGCCTCAGCGCTGGACACGGACGCGAGCCCATGACAGGACAACATTCGACAGGAGAGATCCCTGGACTCCATGGCCACTTGCTAAGGAAGGTCAACTCCCAGCCCCTTCCCATATTGTGCCGCTGGCACCAACCCCACTGATGTCTTGTTGCCCGTACTTGCTTCTCTCCTAGCCTCAGCGCTGGACACAGACGCGAGCCCATGACAGGACAACATTCTACAGGAGAGATCCCTGGACTCCATGGCTAAGGAAGGTCAACTCCCAGCCCCTTCCTATATTGTGCCGCTGGCACCAACCCCACTGATGTCTTGTTGCCCGTACTTGCTTCTCTCCTAGCCTCACCGCTGGACACGAGCCCATGACACAACATTCGACCGGAGAGATCCTTGGACTCCATGGCCACTTGCTGAGGAAGGTCAACACCCAGTCCCTTCCCATATTGTGCCGCTGGCACCAGCCCCACTGATGTCTTGTTGCCCGTATTTGCTTCTCTCCTAGCCTCAGCGCTGGACACAAGCCCAGGACACAACATTTGACAGGAGAGATCCCTGAACTCCATGGCTAAGGAAGGTCAACTCCCAGCCCCTTCCTATATTGTGCCGCTGGCACCAACCCCACGGATGTCTTGTTGCCCCTATTTGCTTCTCTCCTAGCCTCAGCGCTGGACACAGACCCCTGACACATCAACATTCTACAGGAGAGATCCCTGGACTCCATGGCCACATGCTGAGGAAGGTCAACTCCCAGCCCCTTCCCACGCTGTGCCACTGGCACCAGCCCCACTGATGTCGCAGCCACATCAGAGTGGGGCTGGTGACAGGGTGGGCCCAGGAGAGGCCTGGTAGTAGACATGGCGCTTCTCTTGTTGCCTGTACTTCTCTCCTAGCCTCACCGCTGGACACGGACGTGAGCCCATGACATGTCAATATTCTACAGGAGAGATCCCTGGACTCCATGGCCACATGCTGAGGAAGGTCAACTCCCAGTCCCTTCCCACACTGTGCCGCTGGCACCAGCCCCACTGATGTCATGGCCACATCAGAGTGGGGCTGGTGACAGGGTGGGCCCAGGAGGGGGGTGGCACAACACACAGGGGTTCGCTTGTTAGTGCTTTTGCTTCTCTGCTAGCCTCAGCGCTAGACATGGACACGAGCCCATGATACCACGCTCCTGGCCGCCTCTCCTTGATGCACCGCTGGAGACGCAGCAACATCATACGGGACAGTCCTACAGAGGAGCAGATGGTGCCATCAGCTGCGGACGAGAATTCTGCAACACCTAACACTTGCTATAGGAACTTGTCTATATGCAACCTTTTCTTAATAAAAGAACTTTTCTTAATAAAATGCAATTTTGAGAACCACTATGAATTGTGATGAAGTATCTTTTAGTCGTTTCCTGCTGATTTCCTGTATGCTGTTCTCCCGCAAAGACCAATGGAAAGTTAATAATACCATTGTTCAGCCATGAGGCCATATTTACACTTCAATCCCTTGTATGCATAAAATATTAAACTGTTCCTACACATGTCTAGAATTAATTTCTTTGGGAAGAACTCAAAAAGCTAGAACATTCTATCTTGAAAATAAAATGAAACTGGAAAACCAACCCACAAAAGGTATTGTTATCCCTTCACACTTTCACAGAATCACAGAATTTCTAGGTTGGAAGAGACCTCAAGACCACTGAGTCCAACCTCTGACCTAACACTAACAGTCCCCACTAAACCATATCCCTAAGCTCTACATCTAAACGTCTTTTAAAGACCTGCGGGGATGGTGACTCCACCACTTCCCTGGGCAGCCCGTTCCAATGCCTCACAACCCTTTCGGTAAAGAAGTTCTTTCTAACATCCAACCTAAAACACAGTTATCACTTTTGTAAGAGTTAAAAAGCACACAATATTCCTAGCTATCCTGAACCTAACAGCAGCACAGAATTCTTTGTCGTAAATCAGATGTCCTAGTACAATTACTTATACAATGCCTTTTATTTTTTTCCCCCTTTAGAAGCCCTTGTAATGTCCAGTAACTTCATTATACACCAAAAAACACCTATCGACATTGCCATAAGCACGTACAAGTTCTTCAAACTCTTCTAACGTAAACGAAACGGGCAAATTAGTGATGCACAGCAAAGCATCCGTTGGCTGGAGTTGCACG